TTACAATTATCTAATCTTCAGTTATTTCAGATTGGCATTATTGCAAAGTGTGTGCATGAAAACAAATAACTTTTTACTTAAGTGTCTAATTATTTGCAATAGTGTATCTGTAGTCAAAGTTGTTAGACATCAACGTGTGAAAATAGAGTAAAAATACAGCGAAAATCTAATTATGAATATTTCTTAAATTTTTCTTACAGATTTTCAAACGATATTAGAACAGAATCAAAATTAAAATAGTTAAAATAGGCACGGGAATAATTGGTCATCAGGTGTATACAAATACAAAAGAGACCAACGATTCAACTTGAAAGTTAAGCAATAGTCTTGTGACTGCTTGGCAACTGAACAGCTGTAAATAACAATCAAACTCACATGACGCTTGGCAAATTCGAAACCCCCGCTAATTAGGTTTATCTCAGTCTAGGTTATTTACAGTGGTGTAAATATCCTTTGAGTTTCCCGCCTAATGTGCCACAAGGGTGTGTTATTGGCGCGCTTTTATTTGTTTCGAGAGAATCGACTGTTTAATTTGTTCGGCGCGTAATAAATTACCAGGACCGTAAAAGTGGTAGTAAAATCGTAGTCGGTTAAATTTTAGTCTTTAATTTAAGTTGATTTTATGTGGTTTATAATTTATAATTTAAAAGTCAAAAGTAATATATTTCGTAGAAAAATTAAAAGTAATTATTGATAAAATATTTTTTGCAGGAGAATTGATATACCGTTGCAACAAATTTATATGTTGCTTTATGTTTTGCAGTAATAGAATTGTCACCAATAATTTACAGTTTTGACGAAGAAAGAAAAATATTTTACATACGACCGTTTTTATTTTAAGGAGCAATTTCAGTTCAGTTCTTGGGGTTGAAAAGTTTCACATAACAGCATTGTTTACTTTCATAACAGCATAGTTTTACTCATAACAACACGGGTTAAGGACTAATGAGGTTCAATGTTTGAGAGAGAAGAAGTAAAATTGCAATGGTTCCAACTTCAACTAATCAGCTGTTCAGGCCAATTTAATTGTTAAGTGGTGCAATTAGTGGTTGGTACAATGTTTCGTTGCATCACTGTCGGTGGCAATGAGAGGTTATAAACTAACACATAACCTCACTTAGAAGTTATGAGTAGTGATTTGTAGTAATTAAAACATTGTCGTAGGTAAAGTTGTGTACGTAACTCACGTAAATAGTGTTAACGACACTCGTAGAAGTTTTTAGAGCACTCGCCAAGGCTCGTACCTAAATTTTTTTACTCGTTGCGTAAACTACTATTAAAACGTTATAAAACTCATAAGGTCACTCATTACTCATTAAACTCATTAAGCATTAATAGATAGTCTATTTTTACTAACAGGGATAGTAATTTATAAACTGTAGTAAACTGGAAAAATTATATGTGTAACTAACAGATTTTATTGGGCAATTGGCTAATTAAGTAACCATATACCTGAAAAGAAAGCATTTTAATTATAACTTAGCTTAAACAACCATTACAAATCCACAATGAAATAATGAAATAACCAATTATCAATTATCAATCAATCAATTATCAATTATGGAGATGAAAGAATAAAACTATAAACCTGTAAATCCAGTAATCACAGTAGAAAACTTCAGAAGTTGGCAACTGTAAAAGAGCTTAACAAGTTAGAGTAATTAAAACAATTATATTCGCGACAAATTCTCCTCTTATTGTAGCAATTAATGAGAAGCTTCTACTTCAGAGGGGTTTGGAAACCCTTAAGGCAGGAGATAAAAGTATTTCGCGAGCAATTATATTATTCGAGCGGCTGCGGCACGCCGGCGGCGTCGAGTCAGCTGTGATAACTTGATCAATGTTGTCGTCTGCAGAGATGTGATAATGAAGGCATGTTCACTAATGCAGCTCATTATGTGATAAAAATTGGCAACCTCTATCTAACACCCACTTCCAAATTGGTGCATCGGTAATTGAGGTTAAAATGCTGCATCTTTTTTTGCCTGAGAGCTTTTTTTTAATAAATTTCTCGTTTCGTTAGTGATTTTAACAGTGTGTACGTGACCTTGATTTGGTTGAGGTATACTGTTTGAGTATTTAGTTCTAGAAGTATAATGGAATCTGAATGTAGAGGCATTTAATTAATAAAAAAAATAGTGTGTTAACAGTTTAGTTACAAGCTTCTGACATAAAAAAACAATGTAAAATTATAAATATTATGCTAAAATTATCTAACAGCATTGACTTTATATCTAATGCTAACAGTTAACTGCGTATATTAAGTTTATTAAGTAACTTTTTACATTAAAAAAAATTATATCAAGGTAGGTAGAATTAATTTCAACCGAAATAAAATATTTTTGAGAAGAGCGAGAGCCCTCAAATTAGATAAGTTTAGGTTAGAATTGTAGGTTAGGCTTGAAGGTTAGGTTTGGTAAACTCAAATGGCTAAAGGTTATGATTTACAAGATAAATCAGATAACCAAATAACAGTGGTAACCCATAAAAGCACTTTTGCCAACGCCAGGCAAAAAACCAGGATACTCATAACAAAACGTTACACTTACATTTGAACTATAACATAATTTCAATGACATACTCCGGGAAATTTGTGTCTAATTATACTATTTTCACTTTTGTCAACAGTAATTGTCTCATGTGAATTAATCTTCCCATAAATTCGAGGAACTTGTGATTTAATAATAAGTAATGGAAAGTGTCCTCAACAATAAGAAATAGCCTATTATATAATCATTCTTCTCCTTTTCAATTATTATGTTTGCTGGAGAATTAGGAAAAATGCATGCATAAGGGTAGATGTTTTTTAGTTCATTAAAAAATATAGAATACTTGTATGATGTTTGAGTGTTGAGAAACATTACTTCATTCACTTTAACCTATATATAGTTACTTTTTTGAAATTTTCCACGATGCGCAGTTGCATTGAGCCATAAATTCACTTCCAAAATTATCACTTTGATCCTCTATGGATTCCATCCGGTTAATTTCATTTGCGCAGCTGCGACCTTGGTGATGATATTCCCGGTTTGGCGGGAACGTTGTTTGTTTACCCTGGTTGTTTGTTTGTTGGAGGGTTAACGAACTGTTTGCTATCCGACCTATCACCCACCTCTCGCCTAGAGTGCTAACATAACATTGCAACATTGTGCAGAATCTGGGGTACATGCAGTTTCACAAAGTGCACGGATAGATTTACAGCATCGTGTTAAAGTGGGTTCTCCGTTGGAGGTTATTTTGGTCTAACATATCTGACATGTTATAGAAAATAGTTCTTTTTTACAAGATCAATTAACCCCGTTCACTCGACCCATGATCACAATCGCACATTCCGAAAACTTGATTGGTATTGTTTTCGTTTCTAATCTTTGGTACTTGCTTTTTTGTATTTGCCTTTTTCCATTGTACTGCTTTCAACCTTTTGTGTTTACTTGGCACTGCACTGTTTGTGTAAACATATTGTCATCTAGGTTCCTTCTTACCTGAAAACGGAATAAGATCCGTAGCGTTGTGAAGCCTCTGTTTACTGATCACCAATTGGAGAAAGTACGCAATAACCTCTTAGGCCTTATACAATAAACACTAATTCATAAGAATCATAGGAATTATAGATAGTCTAGGTCAGTAATTAGCTAACCTTTGACAACGAAAACGAATTCTTTAGCACCGTAGGAACCAGACAAGAGCCTACCTCAACAATGAGCTTAACATTTTAGACATTAAAGACTGACTCATCAGCATAGGAACCAGAGATGAGCCTAAGTCAACAATGAGCTAATCCTTTGACAACGAAAACTATTTAATCCGCATTATAATAATCAATGAAAAGTCTTAAGTCAAAAATGAAGTAAGCCAGACAACTGAAACTAATTCATCAGCAGCATAGTAATCAGACAAGAGCCTAAGTCAACAATGATCTAAGAATTAACCAACGAAAACTAATTCATCAGCAACATAGGAACCAGAGAAGAGCCTATGTCAACAATGAGCCAAGCCTTGGACAAAAACTAATTGATCAGCAGCATAGGAACCAGAGAACCTAAGCCAATAATGAGCCACTTGGTCAATTATCACAGTCGGTGAGGCTTGCTGATAACGATGATAAGCCACTGACCGCCTCTATCACTAATGGCACTGATAGCCGGGCACCGTGCCGCCAATTTCTAATTACCCGCGAAATATTTTAATCTCCCCCCACCCCCTCCCGACTCATCAATAAGTGCTCTGACTTGTTCTCAGGATTTATTCGCTGTCAGGCTGTCTTTAATTATTTAGAGTGCACTTACCTCTGATCCCAGAATTTATTGCTGGAGAACTCAATGTTGTAATTGGCAAGTTGAAAGCATATGCCTCAATACTTTGTACATTTTTACCGTTAGATACTGTTAAAATACAAATTATGGTAGAACATTGTGTGACAAAATTTTTTTGTAGAATTGGCTGAAGATTTGTAGAGTTTAAAAGTTGCAATAATAGCAAACCTTTTATAAATTGGTTGTTATTTTGAACTAAATGTTTATCAAGAAATATGTCTGTTGCTTTTGTTGTATATCCCAAAACCGCCTAAAATATACATCTATTGTAGGCTTGGTCACTCTTGATTATTTCAGACGATGACTAGGAATAGCAGTCTATGATTCGTGTGGATTTTAAAGCACAATTCTTAATGACGAAAGACTATTCCTCGAATTTCCAGACCATGATTCTAGACGATTTCATACCATAATTTCTTACCAAACTTATGAACGACTTTAGACTATAATTCTATAATAGGCCTGATTCAGACCATGATTCTTGAAATCTCTAGACCAACCTTGACGACTTCACTTTATGCCTTTTAAAGATTTTGATCAATTCAATTCAAATTCCTGAATATAACTCCTCAATATTTCTTAACCTCCTCAGACCTTGAAATAATGAATCTTGTCAAGACTTCTCTACACGTGGTGTGTGTACCCCTTGACACACTCAACAGCCTGATTCTCTTCTGTCTGTTTCAGCAATACTACAAAGACAGTCCGTAGCTGTGGGACAAGTCAAGATACAGGGTGTGGCGACATGCATGTACCTCTGCATGGACCCTTGTGGCATCGTCTACGGATCGGTGAGTTGGTTGCTCGAATTCGACTAAATAATCTGAGAATATGAGCTATCTATACCCTTCATTGCAAACTAGAAATTCGTGTCATAGGAGAAAATTATTTACATAATGGTAACTATTCGTTTCACTTTCAACTGTTTTTTGTTGAGAGATAGGCCTAACTTAGTAGTTGTATTGGACTGTTTTACCTCTATTACTGATCCTCATATTGTCACTGATTGTGGGGAAAACTATATGATTAGGTAGCCATTTAAATTGGTATTCTGAATATCAGATTATAATTTTATCTAAGTACTGTAATAGTATCTAAATAGCATATCTGATGACAATTTAAATGTAATTCTATTTGGGAAATTCGAATGCAGTTTATTTCAGGTATTCAATATACGCAAATAGCTTAATGGAAAAAATGTGTTTAATCTTCCGAAAAATCAAATGTTCTTACCACAATTGTATTCATCATTATTCTAATAGAAAACAGACCGATTCAATTAATATTTTTGACAAAAAGTATAGACAATTAATTTGGCTCTGCACGAATTGGACCAAATACTCAGTTTTAAGGAATACAGTAGTCAGAAAGGGGTTTGGTGATCTTGAGCGTTTAACGTTTTCAGTAAGGGTGGCTTGTAAAAATGATCACATACTCGGACGTTGGGGTGCTTAAATTTCCCAAGAAAGTCGAACGTTAGTCAAGTACGTGCTCAACCCTTTAGACCAACTTTAAATGTGTTGGCCAGAATTATCGAACGTATGCAAATCCGTGCCCAAAAAACAGTCAAAACCAACCATATTTAATGTCTTTATAAGGCAATCCTTTAGCAAAAATAAACAACTTTCACATCGTGAATTCATACCCACCTCAATTATTTAATCTTCGCGTACATCGCGACAAAAAGGAGCCGCCTTTCCATTTCCAGTTTGGAACAAAGCGGCAAAATTTAATTTGAACTGGATCGAATGCGCAAGATGACGCGATTTGAACCTGAATTATTCAGAGCGGGGCTGAACCGCAAATTGTTATTTTATCGAACGTAGAAGGGGTGTTGAATATTTAGAAGCTACCAATCAGGTGATCGCGTAATCAGCTGATTTATTTGTCTGTTGGAGGCCGCTCATCAGCTGAGATTTACTAACTGCGGCTGCGTGTTGGCCAGCCGCCGACTCTGACAGAACGCATGCGCGATCGTATCTCCAGCCCGAGCCAGTGATCGCCGCTTCTTTTGTCGTTATTGGCGGTTTTTACGCGGCTCACGAGTTTTTAGAAGTACTTAACCGTCTTAAACAATCACTGTCTTAATCACTCTTCGTGTTTTTAGAGACGTTTCCTCGCCCTGGGTGCCAAATCCTCACTCGGAAAGACGTTAATGTGTGTAACCGATTAAACGATTGGTGTGGAAGTGCTTTGGAATCCTGCAGGTTTTTAGGAGGATTGCCTTATATTAGGAAGGCTTGACAAAATGACGGTTATATTCTTTTCGCGAATTATCGTCTGTTCGTATACATTTTTCATAATTTTTCCTCTTGAAATACTTTGTATTCCTCATATTTTGTATAATTTCATCTAAAAGAAGGATTCATTAATAAGATTTAACAAATAAATACATTTCTTTTTTCGAACTTTTTGGAAAGATTTGTTGTTTTAATACGACCAATTTTGAATCATGAGAGCTTTGAAGTCTCTAAAACATCAACGAATGCATGGTTTGGTCAGCTTACAGCAACGCCGCGACGTCCGCTGTACAGTATTTTCGATGACGTAGTCATCATCTCCTGAAGAACAAGATGTTCCCAAACTGAATCTTCAAAAGTTACTCAAACAACTACTTTTCCGAGATCGACTCCTACGTGGGAGTCTAACGCGGATCTAAAATCCAAGCTTCTACTTAATTGAATTCCAAAACTCTGCACCTACCCCTAGTTCCACCTCTCTACACCACCACTAGTCCCAGACGGTAGAATGTCACCCCTTGATCACTTCATCAGCTGTTATTTACTGGAGGCGGCAAGACAAGGGCGGGGGTGCGTGTCGATCGTATCTGAGGTTTTATGAGGCTGTAAACCTAAACCTAGGCCGCGCCGAGGTCCCCGCGGCCTTGATAACCTTATCATCCTCCTGAGGAATACCAAGTGAACTGTACCGTTGGTCTTGAGTGCTTCTCTGTTTACGAGTCAATTTTGGAGTACAAGATAATCTCAGTGTGCGGTCTTTTTGGGGTTTGAAGTAAAAGATAGTCATAGATATATGTGGTTAACTAAATTGAGTAGGATGTGCTCAGTAAAACCATGAGATTACATTATTTTTCGTCGTATAATGATAAAAACAATGCATTAGAACCTCGATAACAAGTCACCCTTGATTACAAGGGTCATTTTCAAAAAAACCTTGAAATTATTTTACCCCAATCACATGTTATTGCAAACCTCGATAAGAAGTCAACCTTGATAACAAGTCTTATTTTATAATCCCTATGAGAGTCTTATTATCAATGTTCTACTGTATAGTCAAGGTAAATTTATTTCCAAATTTATCTGTAGCATATTACACTCACAACAGAAACAAATTAAGTTAAACTATCCATACAAATCGTTTTACGAATACTATTACTACCTAATATGGTTTTGTATTGCACTAATTTATTGTCAATGAACATATATTCATTCATTACGGAAATAAAATTAATCCTTGTTGGTATCGCATACATAAAAGAATGCCTTAATTGATTACATTATGTCATCCCAACAAACAAACAATGCATGAGTTATTCGCGATCTGGTTTATGTTGCAACTTGAACATCTTAGAAAGTGTAAAATTAAAATTCTTGATGAATTATTCCGGTTCTGGATGCATTCTTGAGGCGTCGATCGGCGCGAGGCAGAGATGGCGAGCCGGCGCTGATACGGATCGGAGATTAATCATTCTTCTATTTTTGAAAACAAGTTCCAAAAATATGCCCATTATGGTCAAACACGTCAGTTTTCTGGTTTTATTAAAATGTCAAAACGTTTGAATTTCATAACAGCTAGACGGAATCATCTACAGGGAGAACAGATTCCTGAGATCTCTTACTTTAGGTTTTTTTGCAGTATATTAAATAAAATAGTTTTTTATTGTCGTATTCATTTTGTCATTATCAACTTTGAATAGTCTAGACTTTACATCCTATTGTATAGTGTAAATCCTGGTTATATGAGTGTTTTTGTATGATCAAGTTTGAAGCCTGTTGACTTTTGCGTAATATTTATATTTTATTTTAGGGTGGATTCTATGATTTGTTGTTTACTGTGTGGTAAAAATATTGTCTTGAAATTAGTTATAAACTGTACCAAGAAATAAATCCTAGTAAGAAACAAAACAATCTATCTGTACATCAAGTGAACCGAACTAACTTTAAAATAATTGTGTTCATTTGACTCAGAAGAAGAAGGTTAAATCCACAAGGAGCAGGCTATGTTTCATCTATGATAAGGCTGGGAACGAGGAATAGGTAACCTTGAACCAAGTTAGCTTTAGTTCAATTCAAGTAGACTTTTCACTATACAGGGTGTCTCCAAACTGTACTAGTCCAGGAGCTGAGGGGGGTTGAGCATGCATGAAAGTAGTACGCAATGTTATTGCTGATTATTGTAATATGGACTGTGGTGATCAAAATTACGTATGTCGCCTATTTCAAAAGTGGTCGATAAGGTGGGGGGGAGGGGGCAAACATGGCGGTTTGCGCTATGCGTTAAAACGCTGATAGTTCGAAAACGGTAAAAGATAGAACATCTGTTAAAACGTCGTTGTAATCCTAAAAATATGGACAACAATAATGGTCATTGGGTCCGAGGTCGTATCTCTATAAATAAACAAGTTATTGTATAAAATATGTAAAAATGGACTTTTCGTGTAGATTTTTTTACCGAAAGTAGAATTAATTTGTGAATGTCGCAAAGAAGTAATATCAAATATCTTTGCTGATAGTTGTAATATGGACTGTGGTGATACAAAATACGCATGTCGCCTACTTTTCAGGTGGTCGAGAACTTGGGGGGAGGGGGGCAAAGATGGCGGAACGCGCTATACATCGAAATGACTGTAGCTCGAGAACGGTACGAGATAGGACATCGGTTAAAACGTAGTTTTAATTCAAAAAATATTACCAATAGAAAAGGTCATTGGGTAAAAAGTCGTATCTTAACTAATAAAAAAGTTATAACAATAATAAGTTTAACAAAATCTACATCGTACAGCTATTTTTTTCGAAAATCGTATGGATTGTTGATAAATAATAGTGTAATTACTTAATTACTCGGCTATGTATTAACTAGATGCATTTTCTTATAAGAAAAAAATATATTATTACGAATACATTTGGTTTAAAATGTAAAACACGGCCTCCAAACTACTGTACATATAATACTTGGGGTTTCGCCGCAATCAAATGCATAATACAGACTACCACTACAAATCCAATTTTAATTATTATAATGTTGTAGGTTATTACAATATGATTATGTAACAGATTCTTATTTAATACAGTTATATGAAATAAAAAACATTACTACAAAAGTAAATACCTTATAATAAAAAATACGGCAAATCTCTTCATTATATCCATAACAATTACACTGGTTGTTCATATTATTTGTTGAATTTAAATAGGTACCTTTTTAATTTCTCTTAGCACCTGTAATACAAATAAAAAATTGTAAATATTTTCTTTTATACAAATGTATATACATCTATATATAATTAATGCATGAGAGCGGTCAAGAAATTTAAAGTTTATGGTGTTTATATTTACAATGGAATTAAACTACTATATATTATATTTCATATTTAATTATTATCTTATTTGTTTGATTATTTATTTATCATTATTTCATTTATATACTCAGTGTATAATGAAATACAAAATACAAGCAATCATTATTTTAAAAACAGCAGCAATTATAACGCAACCTAACGGACGAACCCCAAGGCGTTTGGAGGCCGTGTTTTACATTTTAAACCATATGT